TGTGTGTGTGTGTGTGTGTGTGTGTGTGTGTGTGTGTGTGTGTGTGTTATCAGCCTGTTTGTTGTCTACTTCATGTTTCTGCGTTTCCTCCACAGATCAGTTTTTATTGATCGTATCTGTTGGTCCCTCTGTCGTTTTGCATCCTTTTATTTTTATTTAAACCCCCTTATTTCTTTAGCATTCACCTTAAATGAGCTTTAAAGTATAAATAAATAAATAAAAAACACTTGTTTCCCCTTTACCTGCCATATTCTATATTTCCTCTTTGGACTTAAATTTTAAATATTCTAGGTTTTTTTTTTTTGTTTGTTTGTTTTTTTATGTTGTAAACCTGACACTGAATTAATTGTTTCTTAGTTTTTGTGTGTAAAAGTTTTAGAATTTATTTAGAAACATTCATTAGTTTTATTTTTCATCTATGAACCACTGTGGCCTCACTGCATTTTTTATAAAAGTTTCTAATTCTTTATATTATTATTATTATTATTTATAATATTATATTATATTCTAGTGAATATAAATTCTGTTTTAATTTTCTTTAATTCTCATTTTAAAATGCATATTTTAAAGACAACTTTTACAATGCATTTATTAATTTAATATTAATATTAGTATTCTTAATTTAATATTACCGTCAAGGCCTCACTTCGTTCCCCTCTTGGTGGTTCATCTTAGGAGACAAGGCTTGAGAATTTTACTCACTTAAAAAGTATAATTCAAAGTGTTAATTATATTAACTGAATAATTAAATAAAAATTGTTCTGTCCATGCAAACAGGATTTATATTATAAAAATATTTGTAGTTTTTATTGGATCAAAAATAAATGTCTAATTGCAAACAGAAGGTATTTTTTTAAATAAAAGGTAATAATTGCGTAATAATTTATGTTTAGAGATGCCTGAGATGAAATGCTATTAATGAAAATAGTTTTTTTATTTAAAGCATAAATGAAAAAAGAAGAAAGAGGCAGTTTATGCTCATTTCAAAAGCTGATTTTTGACTCTTATTTGATTACGTAAAACATGTTTTTGTCCGTGTTGTACATAAAAGATAAATTAAAAGGACTTATTTTTGGTTTGAGTCTTGTAATAATTACATAATATAATTCTAAACTACGGTGGCTCAGTTGGTAGAACTGTTGCTTCTCAGCGAGAAAGTTGCCATATTGAATCCATCCGGGGCCTTTCTGGGTTCAGTTTTGTGTTTTTTGTTTTTTTTGTTCTTAATGAAGATTTTGAAATCACTGAAAAACCCAAAAGTAAATGTCAGCCAAATCAATAATCTTTCAGATAATACAAAAGATAAATGAAAGGCTCAGACTTTTTAAAATTATTGTTATTATTTATTTTATTTTTCAGCACAACAAAAACTGAACTATCTTTTCCGAAAGGAAAATGAATTATTCTGTCCCATAGCTCTTTGTGAATACCTCTCATAAAGTCACATTTGTGTGACTTCTGGTTTTGATTGGATTTGATCCTCTGCAGATTCCCGGGGCGGCGATGGATCGAGTCAGCCTGCTGTGGCGTCTGAGGCGTCGCGCCCGCCGCGGAGCTGTCTGCATGGCCCTCTTCTGCATCTCCATGGCTCTTCTCTACGCCATCTGCGCTGAAAACAGCGTGCCTGTCACCGATGCCATCTTTGGTGTGCGAGCACGAACCAGGGCTCAGCCTCGTGCACACTCAGTCATCAAGGTATTGTGCTTCACAGTGTTATAAACTTTACTTAAATGACATTAAACAACAATGTAAATGTATGAAAAAGTTCTAGAGACACATAATTTATCATGCCAAAACTGAAAGTCTGAGGAACTCAAAATGCATGTTGCTTTAAAAGACTTATGTAATTTAAAAAACAATCACTTAACCAAAATGTGCCATACTGCCATTGTGTGTATAAATTAAACAGTATCTGCATATATTTAAATATTACAATTTCAATAAACAGATGGAAGATATTTACTATAAATATTTAGGTTCCGAGTATAGATCCTTGTGGAACACCATTGATGATTTCAAAACAACTGATTGACAACATCAAATTGAAATCTGTTTGACAAATATTCTATGGGATTTACCTCGTTGTACAGAAACTAATAAAGCTAGACAAATGTTCAACCATATTGTCTATTGAGCGCTAGCTGGATAAATAATAGGCCTCAAAAGGTGGTACCATTGTCACTGTGACATTTTCAGGTGCTTCGGGGAGGAGCCAAATCCATGTACATTGACCCTCAGAAGCTACCAGGTGTCATTCCAGGTGACCCTCACCGCCCAATCCCTGTCCTCTCCTCATTGAACCGCACCATCGAGGACTTGGATTCTCCACCAAAGCGAGCAGCAAAAGCGAGAGAGACCTCTGGGTTTTTTGCTCGCATGCTGCCACGACCCTTCACACGGGCGCTGGAGACCCTTTTCGGAAGACGACGGAAGGGGGAGCTTAGTGGCAAATCGGGGGACGCTGAGTTCTTCGGGCCTCACGGGCTTTTGGGAGAGGTGTGGAACGATGAGATGTCCAGCAACATGCTGGGCAGCAGAATGAAGAAGGTGGTTCAGAACTACCAAGTAAGAGCAACTTCCACAGATGGGATGTGTATTAAAACATCTGAAATCAGACAGTTTGTTTTATTGTGGTTGTTTACTTGTGTTCTTCCTGTCAGGCGATGAATAAATATGGAGTAAAGTTCTCCGGCCCCGGTGGTGTCTCTGGCAGGCCAAAGCTAACTGGTCCTGAGCTTCTGTGCCAGCTTAAGAAAATGGTAAAAGTCACAACTTTGACCTCAGATCTCGAGCCTTTCTCGTCTTTGCCCTTGGCCACCCAGCTGCCAGTGAATCAGCTGACCTCTGACCTCGGGCCATACAAGAGCTGCGCAGTGGTGTCATCAGCTGGATCGCTTCGCAACTCTGGACGGGGAAAAGAGATAGGTAAAAAAAATTACACTGATGTTTGTTTTTTACAGCTGCCCATTAAAACTAACGACTTAAAGTATCTGAAAGATGTTTGGATCCAGTTTCTTTTCTGAAACAATGATACTGTACAACAAAAATATCATTTCTTGAAAGAATGCACATTACCAGCCATGTAAAACTGAATGGACTCCAAAAGATATTTTCCAGATTTACATCCACTGATTATTCTCTGAAGGTTTAAAATAAAATCTGTTAAGCAAATAGATTGCACACACGCAGAGACAATTACATGATCGCCCACCTTTTATGGCAGCAGACTATAATCAACAGGATGCTGAAAGAAAAGTTCAGGGCCAAGATATTTCAAAGAGTTGCCTGTCTCAGATGGAGAACCATTTTCTTAATGTACACCTTATTGAGAAGAAGGACTGAAAAGGACTCATGTGTTAGACCCAGTAACACAATACAAACTTTTTCTTTATCCACGTGGTTTAATATTATAAAACCATTTTGATCCAAAACCAAACTGTAAGAAGTTCTGATCTTGTAAAACACCTACACTGTTAGTTTAGACAACAGTGTCATCGGCATAGAGACAAATAGAATAGGCTCCACACATCTGTCAAATATTTTAATTAACAATATTTAACTAAAGAAATCCCAAAGAGTTATCAACAACATTCATCTTTGAGATCAACACCAGATAGTTATATCAGGAAACTTCATTTCTGCTTTCATCATCAAGTTTGTCAACAAAATATCTCTTAAAAACAGCAAATTAATTTTCTGTGTTCCTGTTTTAAATTTTTACTGAAACGGAAACTAAAAATGTGCCACACCAGTTACTCTGAGAGTTTCCTTCTAAAATCATCTTTTACAGATGCTCATGATGCAGTGGTGCGGTTCAACGGTGCACCAACCAACGGGTTTGAGAAAGACGTCGGGTCTAAAACGACAGTCCGCCTCATCAATTCACAGGTGAACACAACGCCACTGATCAGTTGTTAGGCTGCTGTGCCTCGACAGGAAGCCGCTGCGCTAAACTGCTGTTCTGGGTAAAAGTCTGATTTCGTTCCCAAATAAATTAGAAGCAGGATAACACGCCGGAACAGTGGTTAGTGCTGTTGCACCACAGGAAGCAAGTCACAGGTTTGTCTCGCAGTCTTTCTGTGTGGACTTTGCATGTGCTTCACATGTGCAGGTGGTTTTCTGCAGGTACTCAAGTTCTTTGTCTCCAACCAAAGCCACACATGCTAGGTTAATTTGTATCTCTGAAACTCCATGAAAGACGTGAGTGAGAGCATGAGTGGATTCAAAAAGCGTTCAATACAAAAACAACTGGACTTTATTTGTAACAGAAGACGTTTCGCTCCTCATCCGAGGAGCTTTCTCAACTCAAAGAGCAGAGAGTGAGAGATACAGGTTATAAGGCTGAGTGAGATAAGACACACACACACATAAGACACACACACACACATATATGTATATTGGCAGTTCACACCTAAAACCTAAAACTTATAACCTGTATCTCTCACTCTCTGCTCTTTGAATTGAGAAAGCTCCTCGGATGAGGAGCGAAACGTCTTCTGTTACAAATAAAGTCCAGTTGTTTTTGTATTGAACGCTTTTTGAATTCATCATGTCCTGGATGACTGAGAATCTTCACCAGCAGCATGAGTGGATGTTTGTCTTGTCTCTGTGGCCATGTGATGGACTGGAGACATGTCCAAGGTGTACCCCGCATCTTGCACATCTTGCACAATAGGTTATTTCACAACACACCTCAGTCCGAGACTTAGACGCCTTGTGGCCGCCTCGTGTGACTTCTGAATTTGAAGAGGTTCCAACTAAGCCCACTCCAGTGCAATTTGTGTCGTGAAGGGAGGCAGTAACAGAGCAGTCGACAGGTGAAAAATAATCTGGTGCTCAGGATAGATGGTGCGTGTGACCGCCTCGTCGTGGGATTAAACAACAAACAGATTAATACTGAGGGAATATCAAGGATGATGCTAGCAACTTTGCAGTTAGTTAAAAAAAAAGTAGTTAACCGCTAAGAGAATCACTGACGTGAGAGAGTTCATCATGTCGACACGAGGGAGGTGTCTATCACACATTCAACGTATTGTGCTCCACATCAACCCAGCTGAGTTCTGTTCCACGCCTCTTTGGTTCCTATCTGAAAGCTCATCTGTGATTTATGAACAGCCAGAGGGAGCATGAGGATGGACGGGTCTGTGTGGCCTTTTCAAGGAAATGTTTTATGAAAGAGCCCAATGACAACTAGAATACACCTCTGATGGGTGTGGCTGAGCGGTCAGAGCAGTCGTCCTCCAATGCAAGAGCTGGGGGTTCAAATCCACCAGCAGTCACATGTCGAAGTGTCCCTGGGCAAGACACTGAACCCCTCGTTGCCTCCGATGTGTGTCCCATCGGTGTATGAATGTGATAAAGCTCTGGTTAGTCTCTTTAGAATGATTTGTAAAGATCTAGTAGAGAGCTGTATGAATGGGTCAATGAGGCACAGATTGTGTTGTAAAGAGTTTTGAGTGTTTTGATAAGATAGAAAGGTGCTATATAATTATAAGTACAGTCCATAGATAGACAAAAAAGAAAGGTAAAGAAAATGGATTAATGAATGAGAAGCTGTGGTGTCTCTGAGAGAGAACTGAACTGAGAAGTTGCTTATTTAAAAAATTAATTATTAAAACAAAAGTTGGATGAAACAGAAAACTCTTCAAGAGTGACAGCAGAAAAGAAAAGCAACGGTTGTGTTTGGTTTAAAGTCATAAAGGTCCTAAATTAGGGTGAAGAGCTCACACAAGATATGAAGATTAAAAGGCCAGTAAGTCAAACAGCCGTGTGGTCTCTGAGCTGACGGCTCTCTAGACTGCAGGTGTGTTTAGACATCTTTACTTCTGCTCGTGGCTTCTGAGCTCAAACGATGTCAAACAGCATCATTTTGTTTTGATCATTCTGCTATTTTCTGGTCTCACTAAACATTTGACGTGTAGAAAAAGTTAATGAGATGTTTTTGTTCAGTTAGCAGAATAAACCTCTGGAAGAACTTTGGTTCTTAATCTGTATCTGAACGTCGTGTTTTCAGTGAATAGAAAAATCCATCAAAGGCCTGATGCAGTCTACTGAATGGGTTTTATTCTAATAGGTCTTTGTGAATCACATTGAATTTAATAAAAAATATATTAATAATTGTAATAATAACAGCAGCTAACAATGCCAGAGACATAAAATGTGTCTTTCGGGGAAAGTTTTTATTTTGACCTTATTCTATAAGTATATTCATGGATTTTCTTGGCATTTAATTATTTAAAATTTGATTGATGCCATATAAGGGATTACATCTACTTCTCAGAAAACACAACTTTTCTTTTCGGTAAATGAGTTATTCAATAAATCGTTTATAATTGCATGTTTTCTTGTTTTCCAGGTGATGGCAACAGATGAACATCGCTTCTTGTCCAATTCTTTGTACAGCTCAGGTGTTCTGGTGGCGTGGGACCCCGCCCCTTTCTCTTCTGATCTCTCACAGGTAATATAGAAATTAGATTTTAGTTTAGTTTTAGCGTTTTTATCATTTTAAGTTTTGTTTTAATGCATCTCGACACCTGTCTGCAGATACAGTAGGTACATGTGGCGTTTGCTGTACCAATGGAAGCAGGTTAGGGTTGCTGCAAACTCTAAACCATCTTCTGCATAATTCTATCCACGGTGCGTCTGTTCTGCAGTGGTACAACCGGACAGATTACCCCATCTTCACGCAGTACCAGAGGTACAGGAGGCTTCACCCGCAGCAGCCGTTCTACATCCTGCACCCACGCTTTGAGTGGCAGCTCTGGCAGCGAATACAGGACAACATGGCTGAGCCCATTCAGAAGAACCCGCCTTCTTCCGGCCTCCTCGGTACGAGAACCTCTCGCTGTCTCATCACTTCCTGCTTGTCCTCCATCCTCAGAGCAGAAAGAAACGTTTAGTGGGAAAAGCTCGACTTTCGTTTGAGACTTCACAGTAAAATTAAATGATCCAACAAAAGCCAGGATAAATGATTAATAGAAGCAGTCTGGAAAAGGGTCAAGGCTTCAACATTACTTCTCACACACTTAACATATTTATAATAATAACCAAAATAGACTGATTTAAGTTAGCATGTTTATAAAAGAACACAACATAAGCAACACGTCAGACCAATACTCAGACAGATCTGTACTCAATGATGACTCTAATATTTAATGCAATAATATTTATAGATAAGAACATTTTTTATTTCATCACTGAAAGTATTCCATAATTTCACCCCTCTAAAAGAAACATTAATTGTCAACTAAAGTCATAAATACTTTCCTTTTTTATATATATATATATTTTTTTTTTGGAACGTTTTTAAAAATCTACAAAGTCCTGAAACGTTAATAAAAAGTTAATTTGGTGTCTCTCTACAAGTTGTTTGATTCACTACTCCTAAAGCCTCTTTCTAATGAATAAAAACTGAATTATTGTTGGTTTTATGTGAGTTTTCCCACACGTCCGTACAGTAATTTATATATTAAAGTATTAAAAAACATAACATACAAGGAAGCCTGAGTTAATACATATTTCACAATTCTTGTTATAAATGAACAAACTGGGGTAAACTACAAAGTTAAAAAGACTCTTAAGACACCAAATTTAAAGTGAGCGAGTAAAAGACAAGATGGAAAGAAGCAAATAAGACCAGGAAGATGTTCTTGAAACTCATCCAAGAATTTAAAACTGCAACTTTTAACAAATCTGCTCCAAGAAAAGAAAACACGACGACGCTGCAAAGTGTTTCATCTACAAAAAGCAAGATGTGTTGGTTTTTTTTTTCAATACAAGAAGCCACTGTAATACTCAACTTGTGCCAATTATTGACTTTATATTTAACTTTAAAGGCGCTTTAAACATTTTGCACTTGTTTGTGTCGTTACGTCATATCTCCTGGTGGGGGCGCTGAAACACAGGAGTGAGTTAAAGAAGAGAAAGTTGACTGTAAAAACAAAACATTAATGCTTTCATGATTCATGAATAGTATCAAGTGGTGCCCTGTGATTCCTATCATTGTTCCTAAACATGTTATTTTCATTTCACCTTTATTAAACCAAGAGTAAACACTAAAAACAAATTATTATTTACAGTTCTGACCTGGCAGCGCCAACAGGTTCTTGTTGGGACAAGGAAAGGGAAGTAAGACAAAACCACGAAACATAGAATTCATTAACAAGCAAGAAAACACAAATTACATTAACAGCAGTTCATTGTCAGAGACAAACGATAACATTACTAAGCATGAAAACATTTGCAAGTATCTTTAAAACGTATTTTAAACTATTTTTAAAACTAGAAACTGAGACAAGTGAGGTCAGACCCAAAGTCAGTTGAAGCAGGTTCCAGTCAGATGGAGCAGCAGAGGCAAAGCCAGACTTGGTCTTTAGAGTTGTTCACCACAAACACTGAGAGGATCGGCTGTTATTATTACTGCTAGTTGCAGTAGATGAGTTAAATATGGAGGTGAATAACAGCAACGTCTTACAAATGAGGGTAAACCAATGAGTTTCATGAGTATGTAGAGAAGTTCAAGGTTCTTTATTGTCATTCGCAACACGTGGTACATGAGGTGGAAGCCGTTAACAAGAGAGGAGAAGTTACAACGATGTGCTCAATAAGGAGCATTTATAACAAAGCAAAGAGCAGAGTGATAAATTATGTGCAGCTTACATGTCTGTGAGTTACTGTATGTCTCCATAATCCAACACAGGTAGAATGTTTTTTCAACAATGATGCATGCAGTCGATATAAACAAAGATTGATTTCTATACAAATAACCAGTGGTCAATGGTAAATGGTAAATGGTAAATGGTACTTATCAAGATACTCAAAGCACTTCACAACACAATCTGTGCCCTCATTTACCCATTCATACAGCTCTCTACTAGACCTCTACAAAGACTAATCAGTGCTTTAGATCATTCATACACCGATGGGACACACATTGGAGGCAATGAGGGGTTCAGTGCCTTGCCCAGGGACACTTCAGCATGTGACTGCTGGTGGAATCAAACCCCCAACTCTCCCATTGGAGGACGACTGCTCTAACCTCTCAGCCCCAGCTGCCCCAAGTCTCGCTTTAACCTTAGATTGTAAAACATTAACATGACGTGGAAACGACAGAGCACCATCAATACAAATTCCCAAATATTTACAAATCATCATAAATGTATCAGAATTATCACAGTTCACGTGAACGTAACGCCATTAAAGCTCCGAGTGGACTAATTCTAATTTAATCCTCTTTTTGTGCAGGAATCGTCCTCATGATGTCGCTGTGTGAGGTGGTGCACGTGTACGAGTTCCTGCCGTCTCGCAGGAAGACGGAGCTCTGCCACTACTACCAGCGCTTCTTCGACGCCGCCTGCACGCTCGGCGCCTACCACCCCTTACTGTACGAGAAGAACCTGGTGAAACGCATGAACCTGGGCTCTGACCGTGAAATCTACATGGACGGACGGGTCACGCTTCCTGGGTTCAGCACGATGAACTGCACGACCGATGGAGCGCCTGAGCTCTAACACGCCCACAATACAGAACTAAACCCTGCATGAAGAGCAAAGACAGATGCATGAAGTCCTCACACTCACTGCCAACCCACATACACACTGTCAGTACCACACGCTGTAAACCTTTTCATCGTAGCACTGGAGTTCAGTTAGCTTTCAGCTGAGCCCAAAACTCCTGGAAATATCATTAGATACCATGCAAGTACTTAAATATACTAACAAAGTATAAAAGTCCTCATTTTTTAAAGCCATGCTTTTATTTTGAAAACGTTATACTTAACATTTCTGCCAAACATTAACTTAAGCACTTAAGGTTTAAGGAAACAAACTGACATTAGTGTAGAAAACAGATTTTTTTTTTTAATATATAAATACAAAATATGTTTTGTCTGCAAGAATTGCCAATTTTGAGTTTGATTTACAATCTTGAAGACTTCAGAAAACATCAGTTTCCACTTAAAATAAATAAATATTACAAGTAAAGGGACGTTCATCGTAAACTGAATAGATCTAAGCCTAGGGAGTGGTGGTGCAGAGGTTAGAGAAGATGGGCCTGTGATCGGAAGCTCGTCGGTTCAACTCCTCGGACAGACAACGTCAAAATGTGGGTGGGAAAGGTGAAACACCCACATCTGCCTCCACCCTCATTTCCCTCCACCCTGGACCCTTGAGCAAGCCCTGACCATCTGCTCCCAAAACAGGTCTCTCTTGAAAATGAGTCCTTGTGACTCAATGAGACTCTCTGTATAAATAAAGATTAAATCAAATCTGAAGGACATAAGTAATCTGTAAGATTAGACAAGGAACAGGAGACTAAACTGTTAGTTACTGTGGTGTTAAATTGATTTAGGTCTTTTTAGGAAATACTTTTTATTATTTTTTTGCTTCAAATCTGTTTTCAAGTTTCACTGATGTGTTGGTTCCTGACAGTCCATCTGTTCCACCACAGCTCCGCTCTGTCAACCGCTCACAAATGTCTAGATGTGTTATTTTTTAAAAACTGTTCAGGAGCGGAGCAAAAGGTGAATTAATCAGATTACTTCCAGCAGCAGGTTAATCTTAATCTGTAACGCACTAAACGCAAGATGATGTGTTCCCAGCTCGAGTGGAACCTGATTACAGACTGAAGTGTAGGACAAGCAGCGTTCACAGAAGACCTAAACCTCATTAAACACTGATGGAAAATAAACCGAGTGACAATAAAACTATTTTCATTTAAGGTCCCAAATTTAAACTTCAACATGAGAAATGACTTAATGCTCATAAATAAAACTATCCTTACTGCTAAGTTCTATTTTGAACCCTGAAAATAAGATTTTTTTATTTAAAAATATCTGCTTTAGTCTTCACATTAAGAGGCACTTGTGTTATTTTGGTGTGACGGGATTAATTTGTTTGTTTGTTTCGAATGTAAAGTTATAAATCAGGTTAGGATGAGCTCTTTACAGCCAACTTTGCTTTCCCAGCATCATATTCAGCACCGTCGGTTCAGTTTAAAGTTATTACCTTCAGGACAAACAGACTTTTGTTGTCGTTGTTTCGGAGCTGGTTTCTGCTCTGGGTTTTAGTTTGGGGTGTTTTTACCGCCCTGCTTGCACGGCTCTTTCAAACATCCAGTTCGTTGACCACCTGTATTTAAAGCAAAGCGCCAACGGCCCAACACTGGAAAGTTGTTTTAGTTCGTCAGGAGGAAGTTTGTTTCAGAACACTGTTTACTTCTTGGATGTGACTTGCAGTTTCGAGTTCATCAAGTAGCATTTGATTTTCATCTTTCTGGTCATTCTTCAGCCTTGAGTAGCGTCTCTGGCTGCAACTGTTGGCGACCAGTTGGAGATCCAGAATTGGGAGAACGTAGTCAGTACGTGTTTGTGACAGTCAGTAAATTCTGAACGTCTGCAGACAAACAGCCAGTAAGTCGTGCGACCTGCCTCAGCCCACTTTGTACCCACCATGGCAACACGTTCATGATTTCATCGGATGGAGAGCAGTTTTAAAATGAAACTGGCAGATTCGGCTCATTAGTGGTTTTTAAATCTGGGTTAAGCTTTGGATGTTTAATGTCAGCGGAGCGCCCCCTGCAGGTGTCAGAACACAGCTCCAGTACAGGTGGGAACGGTCCGAGTAAACTTTGAGGAAAAACTTTTAGCACAATGTTTTGAACTTGCTCAAAACTGAAAAGACTGTGAGCCTCTGGGACTCGTGAGGAAGCTGAGAACCTCCACAAACACATTTGGGACGTTTTGAAGGTGCCCTGAGGAATGCCGATCACTAACTCGTCTCCGCAGTGTGACAGCACCTTTACTGTTAGTTAAGTTGTTGGTACCATTCCTCATTCTGAAAGTTAGACATTTTTGTCAGTTTTTAGTGAAAGCTGGTGCCTGAAAAGGTTGTCTTCTAACGCAGTGGGTCCCAACCCTGGTCCTTGAGGAACACCATCCTGCATGGTTTAATTGTGTCTCTGCTCCGCCACACCTGATCTGAATGAACGTGTGATCAACAGGCTTCTGCACAACTGGAGGAAGTGACCAAATCACTGAATCGGATGTGTTAAAGCAGAGAAACAACTAAAATATGCAGGGTGGTGTTCCTCAAGGACCAGAGTTAGGAACTAACAGTTCCTGCATGGCGTTGTGTTGACTCTGGGCTGGCGCCTCGTTGCAGGCGAACTCAAACCTCCATCTGCTAACCTATGCATGGCTCTTGTGTTTTCAGCACCACCACATGAACCAGCTGCCAGGGGCATTGTCGCTTCATTTTCTATTAGTACTGGTGCATGTTTAAAATGTATAAAAACCTTTCCTTTAAGTAGTGTAGTGGGAGGAGAGACAAGAACAAAGTAGGGTGAGCTGTACCTCCACGGTACGATGCAGCTTAATGTTTGTCCTCAGTATATTTTGATCAGCATGTCAGCAGACACTGAAAGATCGTGTGTGTGCTGATTCTTACAGAACGGAGCAGAAGTTATTTGATTCATCATGTTTTATTTGGGCAAACAAACTGGTCACATCACCTGAGCTGGACTGTCAGACATGTAGTTACGCCGAAGCCCAAACTGAATGTAAGCACAGTAATATGCTGAAGAACGGTCCAGTTTAACTGCCGTTTAAATAGTCGTTTGTTTTGTGCTGCGTTTACCGAGTAAATTTACAGCTAAAAGGAGATTATTATGCCATGTCCCCATCATATACTTTGAGAAGCTGCTGTCTCCTTCCATCTGACTGGTCAGTTTCTGTAAGCCTGCGGCTGAGCAGCACATCTCCATTCTAGGTAGAACATGAGAGCGTGACGAGGACTACAGTGTTGTAGCTACAAACTGTTTTCTTAAATAGAGAATAACAGAAAGAAGTGGGTAATTTAGCTTTTGCAAAGGCTTCCCACCAGCTTGTCGTATGTAGCCACTTGTAGCAACTGCAGTTTAGTTTGTATATGCATTAGTTTTTGTTCACAAAACTAAATTCTGTGCCAAAAAAAAAAGTATTAAATATGACAAAATGACCAACCTATATGTAGTAAATGCATTTTGAGAATCTATGCTAACATTCCTAAAGGTGCTCGTTGCAAAGTCAAGAAGACAAGAAGAAAAAAAAATCATAAATCTTCTTATACCGAGGATTAATGTCTTTATATTATAAGTTTGTAAACTAATGAGATGCCAACTACCACGTGTTTACCTGCAGAAACGTCCGAAGTGACTGAAAATAGATGAAACGGTAAACGTACTGGTCTTTTTGTAAACGAATGCCAAGCTGTTTTTGCTTCTCCATGCTTGATCCCCATTATTTGTTCTCGATAGTTGATTCCCTTGTGGTTTTTGACCGTACCTGCAAACTTGTCGCTTTTAGGCAAAAATTGCCGATTTCAATCAAAAATGTGATTTACGTGAATCAGATCTGAAGAGGTTTTTTTTTTTTTGGTTGGGGGCATGTCAGAGGCAGGGTAGACGGCATAATTTCCCATGACTAGATTTACATAGCACTAAACTAGTAAGTCATGCTAGCTAGCTCGCAACCTGTGCTTGCAACATAGCTTGCTCTAGCTCGTAAGTGCTGGCGCACTTCCATAGTGCTAGCTTAGCGCTGGCAAGAGGGGGATGCATTGGAGAAGCAGAGCGCTGCATCTGTAGCATCTTAGCTAGCACGTTTGTATTGCACACCGCTAGCTTAGTGCTACGTATTTAAGAAATTAGTTTTTTGTTGACTAGCTGTCTTTCCTGTGTATGTCCTAATAAAATTAGGATATGTTAGTAATTGTCTTTTTTACCTAAAGCATGCTGCCCCCTAATTCTTGGAATATACCAGAATGATTAATTTACATGTTAAAAAAATAAAAAAATCTTCTGGGTGGGGGGTCCTGCACCCCGCCCCTTCACTACAGGCGTTAAGTTTGTCACCGTTTTCATCCCTAGTGAGTTGCAGGTATGTTTGACGTTTAGCAGCAGATTAACTTATATTCACGCCTAAATGTCTTTTGCCGGATTCTACATTTGTCAGATTCTCCGTGTTGGTTTACTTTCACAGTCTCAAGCTTCTGTGGTTTTATTTGTTTTGGTTTTTTGGCAGATTCATCTGTTTACATTGAATGTGGACCCATATTTCAATATATTTGAAAAACTAACTGTGCAAACGCTTTCAAGCTGCACTGTCTGATACAGTTCAGGAAGTTGAGTAAACACTTTGCATCGAGTACCTTTAAGTTTAATAAATCCTAGCTCAAGTCTTCGACAATAGTTATTTTTGTTTGTAACCACTACATTTACGGGGACTTTTCATTCAGCGAGCTAAACGCTTGAATAACTGATGTCACTACTTTTCAGATTAAACACAAGAAAACGTTTCTATGCAGTTGTTCAGAAATCAGCACCTGTTGTTGTGAAGCCGTTTGGCATTTTGTTGTTATTTTTTAATAATAATGGACTTTTCCTTCTGCTTTACCTTCATCCTCTCTCAGAGGGTTGGTTGTTAATACATGTAAGTTGTTAATTTTCTGTATAGATATTTTATTTGATGTCATTTCCTCTGTGCTCCTGGCTGCGTCGTCGTGTGAACAAAAATGCAAAACAAACTCATTTCAGCCAGAATTGTGCAACAAAACCGACTTCTAATGATACCGTCTTTTTTGTCATTTTTGCTGTTTTTTATGTATGAAAGATGTATAAAATTATAAATTCCCAGCACCATCTTCAGATCTTGTTTAATTTCTTCTTTTTTAATCTGTCAGATTATCATAGATTGAAGCTCGAGTTCAGGTTTTACTTAAAGTCCAACACCCATTACAGTCCCAAGTGCTCTTAAGGAGTATCACTGTCGTGGAATATGACGGTCATATGTTTTTTGTTTTTTTCATTTGGGCCATGGAAATGTAAAAAAAAACACTTAAGCAAACAAACCAGTTATGTGGACAATGATTACGGATTAAAGATAGTGACGTGACGCCAAGGATCTCAGTCCTCCACCTCACGTTCAAAAATCTCCTCGTTTTCACTCAAACACACTGAAACGTACTAAACTAAACACTAAACGCTACAATACACCCTAACTATAAATCCAATATGTTAAATAGCATAAATCTCATGACTCCCTCCAACTCTCACTGTCTCTATCACCGCCAAACTTTTAACTTCTGTCTTTTTCGTTCTCCTGTAGATATTTTTTTAAT